GTAACACAGGTTGGTCTCAAACTCCTGAGCCTCCAGCCTCAGCTTCCAGAGTGCAGGGATGCTGGGCCTACAGGCAAGCATTGCAAGGAAGTACCTTTGGGGCTTTCAACATCTTGCCACCATCTACAGCAATGGTTCTCAACTTTCCTAATGCTGCGACTCTTTCATATAGTTCCTCATGGTGTGGTGACCCCCAACCATAAAATTACTTTCATTGCAACTTCATAACTATAATTTTGCTACTGTTACGAATCATAATGCAAATATCCATGTTTTTCCATTGTCTTAAAGGACTTCTATGAAATGATCCTTGGGCACCCCCCCCAAGGGTTTGCAACCCACAAGTTGAGAACCCCTACTCTAGAAGAAAGCATAAAGAATTTGCAGGGTTCAAAGACTCTCCAGATTCTAGTTCTTGCCTTTATGTCTCAGCTTACCCTCTGCTTGCAATAAGGATTGTATGCAATAAGCAGTATGGAATGCTGCATCCAGGAGTTGCCTTCCTGGATGTTCTGCCTCCTCCTTTGCACCCTTCCTGGATACCCACCTTCTGTCACCTACTCCTTGACAATTCTTGGAGAAGTCACAACCTTCAAGAAACTCCTTAGGTAGGCTTGACACTCCTTCCCCTTCCCCATATTCTCATTACAAACCCCTTTCCTTACTAGGCAATATTGAGAATGACTCTTTACAGCTTTCCGTCCACCTTAGATTATATGTGTCTCATGAGAGGCATTATATTTTTATTCATTCCTGTATCCCTGAGCCTAATCCAGGAGAGATGCTCAACAGATGACTCTGAACTAATCAATCATGTAATAAATTAGGCATTCCATTTTGCACCATAAATTTTTGCCACTATGCTGGTAAATGTGAGTTTTACTTAAAATGGATAAAATTAAATGCTTTTGGATAGAGAAGAAATCCCTCATTCATGCCCCAGCCCTTATTTCAAGCCCATGTTCTATCATCCTGTGGGTTGTAACCTACTAGAGACTATGAAATTAAGCCCTGGGTCACAGCTGCCATTATCTTAATGAAAACTATCAGAAGCAGAATGGAATGGGATGACTCTCGTAGCCTTCTTCACCTCTGTTCTAATATTCGCTCTTATTTTCATTGCTCCACCTGCTGCACCCAGGTGTGGAGAAGTACTGGCAAATAGTAATAATAAAATAAGACCCCAAGGGGATGAAGCTCCTGCTCTGATTTTTCTTTCACAAAAAAAGCAACAGAGCTCTCTAGGCAGGTCTTGGTCTCGTTCCCTGAAAATTGGGGATAGTAACAATCCAAGTTGGGGCTGGGGAAGTGGCTAAGTCAATGGAGGCGAGTATGAAGACCTAGTTCAATCTCTAGCACCCAAGTTTAAAAATAGTTTTAGTGGCATGCACTCTTAATCCCAACACTTTGAAGACGGAGATGGGCAGAGGTCCCTGGAGCTCTGTGGCCGGCCATCCTAGCCTAATCATCAAAGTCCTGGCCAACAAAAACCAAACCAAAACAAAACAAAAACAAATAAGACCAAGGTGAACAGCTCCTGAGAAAAGACTCTGGAGGGTGACCCTGGCAGGTGCTCACTCATGTGTATGCACACACACGTGCGCACACACGTGCACATGTCGATCATACACATATACACAAATAGGCTGGGCTGGTGGTGTGGTTCTGTGGCCTTTGGTACCATTGCCAGCACCTCACATACTAGGAACAATCAGAGCAATGTACAAATGAGCTGGCACAGCAAAGACCTGGTTTAGCTTCAAGTGCTCACTCAGCACTGTTTGTCAGCACAGAGACCTCAAGCACCAGAAGCACACAGCACAGCCTGTATCCAAACCTCCTCTGCTCTGCTGTCGAGCCCCTCTGCTTTGTTTCAAACAAGCTGCCCAGCTGCCTTTAGGCTGTGATGCAGTCCCCAGCCTCCCAAACTTGAGAGAATGTGTGCACTCACGGTCATCAAGCAAGTGCCTGGAGCCCAGGGCTACAGATTCTGTCTTTGAAAATTACAAATATGACCATATCATTCCCCTGCTTCACATCCTTCTATGGTGTCCTTATACTCAAGATGAGACAATGGCTCCCTGATTTCCCTTAAAATGTCCTTTTGATGTCCCTTCCATCCTGACCAGCCTCCCAGGCCTGCATATCCCAAGCCAGCTATGCTTAGTCCCGGGGCCTTTCTATGCTGCCCTGACTGCGCAGGACACCCCTCCATCCTTCTGAGATCTCCAATAGGCATTGGCAGTTTCCTGGATTCTGGCACCCCTCCATGTCTACTCCCTGCTCTGGACTCATTGACCCTCTCTATGGTTGTCTTAGTTTTTGTTTCTGTTGCTGTGATAAAAGACACCATGGCCAAAAGCAACTTGGGAAGAAAAGGTTTTATTTCATCTTACAGCTTGCTGTCCCTCATCCAGAAAGTCAGGGCAGGAACTCAAGGCAGGAACAAAGGACGAATGCTGCTTACTGGTTTACTCCTCATCGCTCATTCTTGTATCACTCAGGACCACCTACCCAAGAATGGGACCACCCACATTGGGCTGGGCCCTCACACGTTAGTCACTAATACCTCACAGACTTGTCTACAAGCCAATCTGGTGAGGACATTTTTCAGCTGAGGTTCTCTCTCCCCACCTCATTCTAGCCTGTGTCAGTTGACATAAAAACCATTGTAGAACTGGCTTCAGCTCCAATTCTGCCAGCTGCTCCTGTGTTTGTCTTACTCCTCAAGCACAGGGGCTGTGCCTTTTGTCTGATGTCACCAACATCCGGCATAGCACCTCCCTTGGGTGGCCCAATAGAAAGAGGGAAGGAGGCAGACATTGAGTGAAAATTCTTCATCTGACATTTCCAAGGTCAGAAGGCAACTCAGAGCCTTAGAACTTGGAACCATATTCTAAATACCAAGCCCCTGTGGGCACAGCCTCAGAAGAGAAGGGAGCTCCAGAATGAAGGGGTTCAAGGCACAATGTGGCAAGCTGTATGCCAGCACAGTCCCACAGACTTCACAGCCATAGGAGGGTTTTTAGGAGGAATGTAGGTTTATACAAAGCCGGTTCACTGAACGTTGAGAGACCACTGAGGAGCCAGGAGCCTGGATGTCTCTGTGGCCTAAACATACTTAAGGTAGGGCAGGAATAAGACTATTCTCCCTACTATAGTGTGTGTGTGTGTGTGTGTGTGTGTGTGTGTGTGTGTGTGTGTGTGAATGTACACACAACCCCAGATACTCCTCAGGTCCTGAGCAACCTGTCCTGGTGGCAGAGGGCATACCATGATGGGTGACAGGCCTCCCAGTCTCAGGAAAGGTAAGCAATGGTGGATGTCACTTTAGAGAACTCAGAGCATTCCACCCCATTCTCCACCCATGGTAGATGGTGACTGAGATCCCCATTTTGACTTGCTTCTCTCTAGCTTAGGTTCCTTGTTCAAGTGCAGAGGACTTTCCCTACAGTAGCAGAAAGTGATGCAATTGAATTTAAAGGAAAGGAAACAGGACTGTGAGAACTGTTTGTGGAGGCCTCAAGTAGAAAAGGCAGAGAGTGGGTTATTTTGGAAATTTCCCTGTCACAACTTCCAGCATGGTAGGTATTAACTATATAACACACTTTTAGGGGTTGATGGGAGGAGACAGGGGACAAGCTTCCCCTGGAATCCACCCTGCAGTTCAAAAGGGGATGTTCTGGTTGCCCCTCCTTGGTACACACTGTGCTGGTCAGAGCTGCCTTCCTGGTACCCCAATATCAAGCTAAAGAGTTCACTGACTTGAGTTAGGGCATAGAAAATACAACGGTGACAGAGGCAGCTCCAAAATGCTTAATGATGAGGATAGGACCTGGGCAGCAGCAAGCCAGTCCCAACTTCCAAGAGTAAGGCTGGTTCTGCAAATGTGGAGAGAAGGTTCTCCGGGCTCCCCTAAACGTGTGGGATGGAAATCGTGCAATCTGGAATATGCAACTTTGAGCTGGGTCTCCCTGAGTTTTGGGGTCAGAGAAGTACCCGTTATCAGTAGGTGGTGGTAATACATGCTGTCGATCCCAGCATTCTGGAATCTGAGGCAGGAGAATCACAAATTCAAGGCTGCAATTTCAAAAAACAAACAAACAATAAAAATTGTGCCTCTCATTTTTCAGTATTTGCTAAACAGATTCCAGAAATAAAGGGGCACAAAAATGTCACTGCTGAAAGAGAATCACTTTCATTACAATGTCATCACCTATGCCTGACTCTTCTTACGTATACACACATGTACACAAAAACACACACACACACACACACACACACACACACACACACACAGCGCCTTCAAGATTCCCAGGCTCTCTCCTTCTATCCTCAGGTCTCACACATTCTGCCATATGCCCCACATATATAACTCAATAACTACGCCCTTGAGGAAAACAACAAATTTACTATTCACCTAGTGGTTGTAAAGTAAAATTGCAGGCATAGTGATAAAAAGGAAACAATCAACTTGGTATTCCTCAGCTTCTAACACAAATGGAAAAGAGGAAGACACATGGCGGCGGGTGAGGATCTCGGATGCTTCAGGGACCAAGTACTGAACACAAACCAGCAAGGGGAGCTCAAGCATCACCCAAAAAGGCGATCCAGGCTTAGCTCTGATTGTTCTCTAAAACGCAGATCCAAATTGCCACTCCTTGATTTTCAGAAGCCAGAAATTCTAATCTAATATGAAGCCTCTTGATTCTTAGAGGGCAATTCAGTTTTCCTGGAAACATTAAATGAACTGAATCTCGCAGTGAGCCCTGCAGCTTCCGGTACTCTGCTGGAGAGGTGCAAGGCATCTCCCCTAACTGTGGTATTACACTGCCACTCTCCAGCCACCATTCGCCATTGCAGCAGAGGCATCTAGGAGAAGGCTCTCAGCTTTACTCCGCACCCAGGGCTGGATGCCAGAACTCCAGAGAACAACTAAATCTACAGGAAGTGGAAGGCTCAGCTGAGCCACGCAGGGGCAGAGACTGGAGCCTTGCAGATTAAATGGCCGACTGCTCCTGCAGGAAACCCTCAGGGTTGGGAAGGCTTTTATCCGGCTCAGAAGCCAGGGCTGCCTCTCGGAGGACTTCCAGATGCTCCTCAGCAGCAGACAGCGACTGGTCGATCCAGTCCAGGCCCCCGGTTAGGTGACAGGCATTCCTGGTCACTAGCACCAAGTGACTGACGGAGAGGAGCAGGGCAGTTGTCCTGGGTAGAGGGAAAGAGAGAGAGAGAGAGAGAGAGAGAGAGAGAGAGAGAGAGAGATCAGGCTCTGTAGAAAGTGGGGAACTTTGCACAAAAGCTCAAATGGGTGCACACTCTAGATTGGTGTTCCCCAAACTGAAGACCCTCTCCTGAAAGGTGGGTGGTTTTTGTAACATAATGGGTCCATGCTGAAATACATAGTGATAGCTGGCTTAAATAAGGTTAACTGTCTTGGAGCTTTTGATGAGCTTGACAAAACTCCAAGGGGAAACAGGAGAGCTGTGTCTGGTAAACATACTTAAGAAGGTGGAAGCGGCTTTCAGCAGCACACCTATTAACAGCTCCCAGAAGGGTGTTTTACGAAACAGTTTGGATGTGGTCAATTGGATGAGCAGATCTCCAACTGCTGCCCACTTAAAGATGGGCTATATATATCCCTCTTCAGTGAACATCCCTTATTGATCACAAATCAATAAGCCCAGGGCTGGCTTACTCAATGCTAAAGAAAATGTAATTGAAAATCAAATTGAGGAGGAGAGTTTTGTTTGTTGTTATTTCCGTGGTTTGTTTTTTTTTTTTTTTGATTGAAAAATTCACTAGGAAATAATTTTTATGTGGTGAGAGTGCCAGATGTGTTCAGGGCTTCATTATCGATTACTAACCCATGGAGAAGCTGAGCAGCAATAATAACGGGGCAGGGAAACCACAGCAGATATGTCCCGACTTACTGGCCACCTGGCAACCATTACATGACATGCCCATGGGAGTCTCACAAATCAAATGAAGATAACGTATAAGTATCTAATGGGTTCACATTCATAGGGCTGAGTGCATTCTGTGAAGTGGAGGAGGGTCTGGAAAAGAGGCTCCTGAGATGCCTGATGGGGACTGAGTTCCACTGTGGCTGACGAATTACATGTTCTTGTTGCTGGTCTCACCACAGCCCTGCTGGATGGTGCTTTCAGCAAGGTGTGGCTGTTTTTGAGTCCAAAGATCAGAGGGAGGAATGGGGAGTGAAGGACAGGGAGGCCAAGTTAGCATAGCCAGGTAAGCATGCACATCCAAGCCTGATACGTGGCTTGCTCCCTCGTCTCGGGGATTCAGAAAGAAGTCTGGTCTCTATCACCTGCCAGGCTCGACTCACTGGTTGGTTCAGTGTTGACATGGAAGGGGATGAGCCCAAGAGTCAGAGGTGGCCTTGGAAATCTGGAAAAAGATCCTCTTTAAACAAGCCAGGTAGTCAACCTGGCAGGCTTGATAAGAGGGACCCTGAGGGGTGACAAGATGAGTGGGCCCTCCTCCCCGTCTCACCTTGCATCCAGGAGCTTGGGGTCCAGTGGAGGGTACATTGACTTCACGACATCGTCCACTCTGAGGAAAGGCAATAAGGACAACTGTTAACATTTGACCTTCTCGTCCCCTTTTCTCCCTCCTTCCTTCCCATCCTCACGCTAGACTTCTCTGTTGGTATTACACACCCACTCTTGGGGGGGGTGTCCTTTCTCTAACTGTTTCTGCATGCCCAGAAGAGTCTAACAGAAAGACTTCAGGTTCTGCTTGGAAAGTATTCTGCTGTCTGCTTTTGCTTTCATTCCAATGGTTAAAACGTGTGAAGTCATACATATGGAGTGATGCTCAGGATTACTGCTGAATTTAAAAGGTAATTGGCAAGCAGCAGCACGCTGTGTCCCTCTGCATATATAAATACAAACAATAAACCAAAGCTATGAAATGCAAGAGGGAAGGTCTAGAAAAATGTTCACCATTTGATGGTGGCTACATCCCCAAACTGGAAAGGGTGGAGCATCCGACTTTTCAGATAATCTATTCTGGAAGTAGATTAACTTTTATAAGCAAGTTTTTACTTTTGTATTTCTTTAAGAGATGCTAATACAGTGACATAAAACACTTTTTTAAAAAAAAAGCCACAGTTTAATTTGGTTTCTAACTACTCTGCTGTGCGTCTGGTCCATGCTGCATAGCCCATGACTAATATTTTAAGTTAAGTTTCTACCTGCTCTGATTTGTGGGATACAAGGTTTTGCTCCCATGGATCAGTTGGTAAAGAGAAAAGAATGAAAACTGTGGCCAGAGGCACGGAGGTCCTCAGCATCTGTCCCAGATAGCCTCTTCCCTCTCTGCAGAGCCCAAGGCAGAAGCCACTCTCCTGGAAATATTAAATCATATTCCTGGCAGATGAAGAAAATAAAACAGGAAGGACACAGGGACAAATATCAGCCAGAGTGAGAACCCGTGGGGGCAAATGAAGAAAACGAGAATTCTGGCAAGAAACATGAAGTAGGTGGTCCCAGGTACTCGCAGAGAGCTCTACCCTCCTGGCAATGCCACACTCTCACTTTGGCACACTGTTAACCATGTCCCCTCTCAGAAATCTCAGTATCCTAACACCCTGTTTGTAGCCTGCATCTCGGGGGGCCTGTCCAGGCCCTGTGAGTGGATCTCAGAAATGATAAAAAGCCTGGGTGGGGGTGTCTCCTAAGGGACTGGTGCAAACCAGGAAGTTACACCCCTGGGGCATCTCCAGAGCCAGGAGCTATTCTGGCCTGCATCCTCCCTCTCACTTTCTCATCTCCCTGAACTACCGAGACAGAGTTCAAGTACACCAAGTCTTGTTTTTCTCAGAGGATCTTACAGGTTGCTCCTCCTGAGCTTTTACCAGCTTACTGGAGACAGAAAAGGCTGGTTCCTTGTGATTTCACCCAGGCACCAGGAATGCACACTGGAGGCCATTCAAGGCACTGGGGTCAGGTGACTGATAAGAACACTTTCCTGGAGTGGATCATCTGACAGCAAACCCACATACCAGCCACCAGGTGGCAGCACACATTTAGCACAGCCCTTTGCTCTAAGAAAAGGGCCTTATTTTTCTTTGCAAAATCCAGTCCAGCTGAGGGGGTGTAGTTGTTGACTAGCGCTCTTGCTGGGTGCCTCCCACAAGGGATTTTGCAGACAGCCTGGAATTCGGGAGGTCTGAATGTTCTGTGGCTTCACCTCCCACCCAGTGCTAGACTGAGTGAGGATCAAGCAGCAAATATGAGCCACCACGAAAGGAAGGTATCCCTCAAACAAGTTCATAGTATAGCTAACAAGCTGGACCTAAGGGCATGGCTGGGAAGTCACTGGAGATAGTAGCATAGGAGCCAGTGGGAAATGTGCCTTCTGACTGCCATAACGTGGCAAGGGATGGGAGGCTGACCAGGTGAGATCCTGAGTGGTCACTATGGAGCCGATGGTTGTCAGCCCATTATCCTGGAACTGTTAAAGGACTTGTGTTGGTAATGGGGATGCTGGGTGACCATCTCAGCTTAAGAATACTGGGATGTTCTGTATACACAGGATATTCTGATAACTGAGGCTGCAGACAGACCTACTGGTTTACAGCATTACTTAGCCTTGCTGGCTACCTCGGCTTCCCCTGTGGAGTGTGGGACTTCCCAGCCACTGACCACTCACCTGGGGCTAATCCTCTTGGCCACCACAATGATGTCGCTGACACTCGCTGAAGTCTTCATCTTGGCCCCAGAACCCATTGTCATGGCAACAAGTTTTTCTGTCAGAGTGTGACAAATCTAATATAATAAGGAGGAAAGAGGTGATGAGGGGTGACCTGGCTCCCCACCCCACACGAAGGGCTCTACCACCCTGACAAAGACAAATCTGGCCACACCTTGGGCACTGCCACAAAGCTGGCTCCTACCCTAATGATGAGAGGAAATGGAGTGGAAAGAGGCAAAAGCCAAAAATAGTCTGGGTGATAGTTGGGGGTGGGGGATGGGGCTCAGATCAAGGACAGAACTTCAGCTCAATGAGGACTAAGCTGAAATAATCCATCTAAGAAAAATCATGCGCTCTAATTTCACCATCTTTGTAGGGAATGCTTTCTATCCCCTCCCTTCTCGGTTTAGACTTCCAAATGGATAATATCTCCAGTGGGGAGTCCGCAGAAATGATGCTGAACAAAGGGCAACTGATCTCTTTAGGCACATTCTGGTGCCTAGGTTGGTGATTTTTGAGGGTCCTGCATTATTAGTGTTTGTCCAGGTGATGATGAAAGGGCAAGGGCAAAATGACAATGCATGGGCTTCCTCTACTTCTACCAGCACTGCTGGCCACTTGAAAGGCTTACTGTCTCTTCCTGTATTCTCCCATGCAAAGAGAGCAGGAAGAAGCCCAAGAGGCCACTGGGAAAGAAGGACCACACTCTCCTTCATACTCCAGGGAGATGATGGAGCAAAGGCATTCTGGGGTCTCAAGAGGAAACTCAGAAGCCCTTTTCTTTATCCAAGCTCCCCATTCTAAGAAGTGGGGCCCTCCTGCTCTGATGGAGAAGAACAGGAGAGAAAAACAAAACAAAACAAAACAAAAACAAGGCCCAGGACACATTGTAGCTGGGCAAAGGGAAATGTAGTGTGAGTTATTGCTCCAGTCAGTGTACCTAGCTATCTATGTCTACAATGATATCTGTATGTGCAGCCATATTTATCCATCCAAGGAGCTTCCGGACTCTGAGGCAACAATTTCCTACAGAGGTAGTCAAGGAAGAGGTAGATAAAGGGCTTTTTAATATCCTGTACTGAGTGACCCTAGAGAAAATACCAAGTTGTCTCTTTTGAAATCTTGAATAATTAGTAGACAAGATAAGGTTACTGACGTGCAGAAACCCATATTTGCATCTTGTTAAACATTTGCATGTTATTATTATTCTGTTAGGAAGGATAATATCGGGCAAGAGTTGAGAAATGAATGCTGAAACTATGAAAATGGCTAAAGTGCAATTTGAAAGTAATTTTCCAAAGGTTTCAGGCCTTCAAAAACCAAAGTCTGCCTCCAAGTAGAAGAACTTGTAGTTTGGGTTTTTGGTTTTTTGTTTTGTTTTGTTTTGTTTTTTTTATCTCTGACTATTCCATTTGTCTGATTATTGTCACCAAAGAAGCCAAGGAAGACTTTCTAATAACTCAAACCCAAATAAAGAATGCATTCCATGGACTAGCTCAGGATTAATAAACAGAGGAGGCCAGGGAGGCCGGAGCCTCATTTGCTTCAGCAGCTGCATGGCTTTAGACACCCAGATTTCCCCATGATTGGTAAAATTATTACTGGAGACCCCCCAAGCTGTCTTTCCCACAGATCACTGTGTTAAGAGAACCAGGTGAGATAAAGCCTAAAGAGGACTTTTAGAATGCCCAAGTAAAACAGACCCAACAGGGAGAGGTGGAGGTAGACTGTAGAAATACAGCTGGAGGCTAACAAGGGCTGCTTTCAAGGTCAACTCATGTACACCCAGGGTGCTCCAGCAGCCGCCCCTGGCCTCACAGGGAAATAGGAGTATTACCTTCAAGATGGCGATGCAGTGGGACATGAGGCCCCTGAGGAGACAAGAGGAAAGTGTCAGTGCTGCCCTAAAGAGCCCAGCTCCTTCTGGCTACCCCCACTGCTCTCCAGCCAGCACCAGGTAAGCATAGCAGGCACCATCCCCAAGCAGAATAACCCACACCTCTAGCCAGCTCTGTCCCCCACCTGCCAAGTTCAGCATTTTATATCTCTGTATATCCAACATGCCCTTGCCCTTAGATTCAGCCTGGTGAGTTCCTCTTTCAGTAAACTCAAGTCAAAAGGCACCCATTCAGGGGAGGCCCTGAGGCCCCACCCTCCATAAGGGCTCATAGGCAGTTAATGGTTGTTGGGTAAAGGGAAAGGAGAGACATTTTCTTTAGTTAGTGGTATAGCCACCTTGGGATGGCCATGCTTCCATAAATAATTCCTGTAAGAAACCATAGTTAAACTAAAAGGGATACACACACACACACACACACACACACACACACACACACACACACAAGACATGAAATAAGAAGGTAAAGGGGACTACCTAAGAAGAGAAGGGTATCACAGAGGTAGGAGGAGAACAAGAAATGATAATGGGGCAAATGATTAAAATGATTAAAATCCATTACGTCCATGTATGAAAATGTACGTACTCATTAAGTAAAATTTAAAATGTTTTTTAAAAGGCAGTCCTCTGGGACATGCTTCACCAAAGCTACCTTGATCTTGTTACCCCAGACAGACTTAGACACTGCTCACTCCCTGTGCCACTCCTCATGCACTGAGATCCCCTAGACTCTCTTTGACACTGGCTTTGGTGCAGTTCTATCTCCCTGTCACTCTGACATCCACAGGGCCTGGCTCCATACCCTCTCTATAGTGCCCATAAACGTATGTCAGAAAGCAAAACGATAAAGGGATAATGAAAGGCAGTGGCACACACTTCTCAAAGTGCAGTCCTGCTGGACAGACAGCCCTCTGTGGAACACTGAAAGCAAAGGCCACCTGGAGTTGATTCAAAATCCCTGGGCAGTCCAAGAATAAGCCAACCCACACTGGGAGACTTTATAATGATGCCTGCCACACGTCCAACTGCCTGGGTGTTCAAATCTACAAAGTCGGAGGGATGGGACAAGAACGAACACTGTCATGCCCTATGCCGACATCCCTCACCATGACGACAGGGGAAGAGCTCTGGATACACAGTGGAGTGTTCCAGTAAAGAGAACCCAGAAGTTCCATTGCCATCCTAAAGGGCTAGAAAGCAAAAGTTCCCTGGGGCCTTACGAGGCATCTTCAATCCAGTCTTCATTCTCCAGAATGGCCTCGATGTGGGGGTTGGTGATGACAACATCATCAAGCTCTAACTCGGAGGGTTCAGACTGGGTCTCCATCGCACCAATGAGGTCCACAATGGGCCTAAAAGGAATGGCCGCTGTTAGAGTTTCATGACAAGTGACTGTGGCTGATCCTTTTCTCATCACAGCCACTGTTGTAGTTTAGATGTTTAATGTCCCCCAAAGGCCTGTGTGTTAAAGGCTTGGTCCCTAGGATAGCACTACTGGTAGGTGGGCCCTTTAAGAGTGGAGCCCGGTAGGAGGGCTTTAAGTCTTTGAGGCTGGACCCTAAAGGGAATTCTGAGACTTTGGTTTCTCCTTTTCTTCTTTTTCTGCAGTCTGACCATGAGGTGAGCAGTTTGCTGCTCCACGAACTCCCATCTGGCGGCACCATCGATGTCTACATGCAATGAGTCTACTTGATTGTGAATCACAACCATGAAACCCATAAACCGAAAGAAACCTTTTCTCTTTACACTAGGTTATTTCATGCATTTGGTTATGGTGACAAAGGCTTACACAATTTAGAGGAGAGCCCACTTGTCCTGGATACAGACCTAACTGTAATGTGCCCATAGCACAAGACAAGGCACACAGCTAAACAGTGAGTCAAGAAGGCAGACCAAAATGCAAGTAAGACAGGATGAGCTAAACAGCAGGAGAAAGGGCAGGGCTAACATGATTACAGAGAAGTCCTAGACAGAACAAGTGATCTTCCTTTATTCCCCCTCAGGCCCATGTTAGTACAGAAAGGTTGACATTCTGATCACCCAAGCCTACTTGTGTCCCTTAACTGGTGTACAACATCACTCTTGGAAACCACCCCTCCCCTCTGATTAAAACTACCTCCTCCTTCACAACAGGGTTTTGTAGAACCCGAACTACAGAGATATTCCTTGCAAAGCAGAGCCTTGGATGGGAGGGGCATCTAAGTGGGCAGTCACAGGTTGTTAACCACTCAGCCACTCAGCAGAGATGCTATCCTAGTTAAGATCAAGAAACATCAGAAGCCTAAGGTTGGTTGCTAATGTCCTTTATGGATCTCTTCATTCAAAATTCCTAAACTGACTTTGCTTGCAAAATCGATTTCATGTAACAATGCATGATGAAGGAGACAGGCACCCCTATGCTAGGACTGCACGATCAGGAACAGCTGTTGCTTTGGTGTGTGGTTGAGTGTGGGCATCCACATTCCAGAGTTTTGGCTGGAAAATGAGTTGGTTCGTCCCCCTGCCAAATGAGGTGGCCAGCACGGGGCTTTCATGTTAGGCAAACACATTCAATAACTTCTCTGTGACTGAAATGAACAGAAAAGGGGGTATCTCAAGATGCTGCAGTGCTTAAGGAATGTTTTTGTTTTTGTTTTGTTTGACTTTTTTTTTTTTTTTTTTTTTTTTGAGACAAGTTTGTTCTGTGTAATAGCCCTGGCTGTCCTGAACCTACTCTGTAGAGTAAGCTGGCCTCCAACTCAGAGATCCTCCTGCCTCTGCTTCCCAAATGCACCACCCAGGGGAGTCTCCCAGGAGTCTACAGGGAGGACCCCAACTTAGACTCCCACCCATAAGTAGCCTGAACTGGCCATCTCTTGAAACCAAACTGGTGCCTGGCCCAACTGTCACCAGAGAGGCACCATCCAGCAACTGATGGAAGCAGATGCAGAGACCCACAGACAAACATTAGGTAAAGTTCAGGAATTCTGCAGAGGAGGAAGAGAAAGCTGTGTAGGAGCAAGACGAGTCAAGGACACCAGAGAAAGGCTCACACAGTCATCTAACCTTGGCTCAAAGGGACTCACAGAGACTGAAAGGACAACCAGGGAGCCTGCATGGGACTGACTTAGGCACTCTGTATATATATTACAGTTGTGTAGCTTGATCCTAACAGTGGGAAGAGGAGCTGTCTCTGACTCTTTTACTGGCTTTTGGGACCCTAATCCTCATACTGGGTCACCTTGCCCAGCCTTAATACATGGGGAGGTGCTTAAATCTTACTGCAACTTGATATGTTTTATTGATACTCATGGGAGACCTGCCTTTCCTGGATAGACAGAAGAGGAAGGGATTGGGGGGTGGGGGTGGGAGCAGGGGTGCGTGGAGGACTGGGAGGAGAGGATGGGGAAGGCTGTGGCCAGGACGTAAAATAGATAGATGAATAAAAACAATTTCTAAAAGGTGTAAGCCACCACTGCCCAACTTAAGGGATGTCCTTAAGTTCTGAAGTCTTTATAAGGTCTTTATAAAGGAACCATTTAAGAGAGAATATGTTGAGCTGAAGTGGCTCAGCACCAAATTGCTTCTGTCCCTCTGGCTTTCTGTTGTCAGTGCTCAGCTCTCCTCCCTCCCCAGCACAGTCTACTCACTTGGAATCATAGCGCTGTAGCAGGTCTCGAGGCCGGCAGTAGCGCTGCCTACAAACCACCACCAAGGCAGCAAATGAGGCCAGGAAGATGGTGGCCAGCACACCTATGGCGACGATCACCACAGTCTCCATGCTTCCAGGGGCTCCCAGATATAGTCACTCACATCCTCTGAGCAGGTGGAACCTGGAGAGACCAGGACATCAAGCAAATGTGGTAAAGACAAGGCAAGAAATGGAGGGGCGGCTGGGTCTTCCCTGCTACAAATGGCAAATGAGGATGGAGAGGCTAGTGAGGCTCCCTCAAGTCACCTGCAAACCCAAAGGACTAAAGCAAGATGCATCTTATGCCAAATTTCCCTTCTCCTTTATGATAGGTTATTTTCCAGTTACACTGAGATAGCTTTTGAAGCTTGGGACACACTTGCACCAGCACTGATGATTTCACATTAGAAGACATGTGAGTGAAAGAATACCACGATGGAATCAGAAGGTAGGGGTGTGCTTGGTGAGGAGCCCCTCCATCTCAGACACTATGTGTGTGTTAACTTGTCTACCAATAGCCACATGAGGCAGGTGTTGGCATCTCTACTTTATGATAAAGAAACTGAGGTTCCAGAAGATTAAGGCATTTATCCAAGTCTACATAGCTGGCAAGCAGACAGCCACCCACCTAAACTGAAATCAACAGTCACCTTCCTTGTCCTTTCGAAGGAAGAATGAAAACTCTGCAATGGGTTCTGACTGCCACTTTCAGTGCTGCAAACTTAGGAGCAGAGTGGAGTATTCCTTGCCTATCACCATCCGGGAGGGTCGTTCATATCAACAGTCTGGTATGACTTAACAACAGTCTTCTGTTCTGAGAAGTGTATTGCCACGTGCTGTGGTCATTGTCAAACACCCAAATCGAACTTACACAAACTAAGACCAGCTATGATCTCATTATATGATGCAATTCTATAGGACCACCACCCTATATGTGAGCCATTACTTACTGATATGTGATGTGGTCTATCAGTGTATGTTAAACTCAAGCCAGGGCACCTTGGGGAAATACCCTTCATGACATTCTTTCAGGCCTCCCATCTGTATCCCTTTGAGTAGTCTCCTCCCCTGGGTTTAGTTCATTACCTACAAAAAGGAGTGCTCTGCCTTAGCAGTCAGTCTCTATGACCCCAGGATGACCCATCATTTCCATTTGCCATGTCTCCAAGGTTTCAAACTCTCTTGTTGGTCTTTCAGGGAACCATATATTGATTATCTACAATGCAACAAACACTAAATTCTGAAGACTAAAGATGAGAAGATAGACTCCGCTCCCCCATGTTAACGAACTGGTAGGGAAGAAGGATTCTGCTCTGTGTTAAGGGGCTGTGTGAAGGCTTGGACGGTAAAGATTACATTTGCATGACACTTTCTAGAAAAGCCTCCTTCACAAACCTGGGGATGCTTGAGCTGGGTCTTGAGGGATGGGCAAGAGTGCCAGGTAGATAGGATGGGGGTTTTACTGGCTTAAATTGCCAAGGAAACCTCCTCAGGGGTCTCCAAGGCTGCTCTCTCAGAAGGATTTTTTTCATCTTGTACCGCTGTTGGGAAACCAGGAAGAGAGGGGTACAAACACTCTATACTGTCCTTCCTTGTCTAACACTTTTCTTTCCTCCGTCCGTATTCATGTCTTCCTTTCTAGACTTTTTCCTCCAGTAACCACTTCTCCAGGCTTCCCACATCCTCTCTCCCATGCCCCCATTCCTCCAAGCTTCCCCCTGTCTTCCTCTTCTCTCTCTTCCAGTAGTTTCCAGTGTTTCTTTTGAGCTTCTGTGCTCTCTTGAACTTTCCCTCAGCCTTCCTTTGCGATTCCTGTGTGGGCGTTCCTTTGTAAGCTTTTCTTTCTTTGTGTGTTCTCTGTTATCTCGGTGACTTTTCCTCTCTCCTTCGATCTCTCTCGCTCCATCTCTCTCTCTCTCTCTCCCTCCCCCCTCCATTTAATTCTAAACCCACCAGGATTCAAC